TGGGCACAGTCTCCGAGCCCTGGGCCTCAGGTTGCCCCTCTTTAAGACAGAGGGACAGGGAGACGGGATCCGGAGTGAGTGAGCCCGCCTGGCGCCCCGACGCTGGGGGAGCCGGGAAGGTAAGGGGCTGCTGCGGCCTCTGCCCCCGAGGTCCACTTAGGTGCCGGGAGCGGCTGGTTTCTGCGCCCCGAGTGGCCCAGGGATGGAGGAGGGGGTGGGAGAAGAGGAGAGGGAGAAGAAGAATGAGTATGAGTCAGCCAAGGATGGAGCCCAAGTCAGAGAGAGAGAGAATGAGGAGAATGTGTGCGAGGGACAGGGACACAGTCGGGGACGGGAGGGGAGGTGGCTAGAGCAGTGGGAAGAGGGCTGGGGGCTGGGCGGCGCGGGCTCCGAGAGCCAGGACCCGGCGAAAGCAGGATGGGGCGAGGCCCCGGGGAGTTCGAGAAACGTGCTGAATGTGTGGGTTTTGTTTCTCGACGAGTCTGGCCCCCAGGCTGTCAGAGCGATTAGCTTTAATTGCTCTTCCCTTTGTGGCTAAACACTCCATTGGGGAGATTGCCAGAGATGCCCTAGGCTGCCCACTGCCCCGGTTGCCTACTTCCTCGCCGCCCCCGACACCTGTGCCCGTCCCGTGTGCATGTTGTCATGCGTGAAGAGGGCCACGGAGTCACGCCCTGCCGGGCCGTCCCCTTCCCTACGGACCCTCGCGCGCCACCTGGATGCAGCCAACCAGTTCGAGCCCCTCCCCCCCTTCCCCAAGCTGCCGCTCTCTGGGCAGCAGGGAAACTCACTCTTTCTTTCCTAAGAGTAGTAGCCCTGGGTGTTCAGAGGGGGACACTGAGTCACAGACCCCAGCGGTCCTCGGTACTCGAGGCCACCACCCAGTGAGACCGCCTGAAAGCCCACTGATAGGACAGGAGGGAGCGAGAGCAGGAAGGAGGAGATGGGTGAGGGGGAGAGGTGGGAAGGAAACCGAAACAGGAGTAGGGGAGACACCACCAGCGGAGTGGCCAGCACTCGGGCCACCTCACCAGCAGGCAGCCCTCTCTGCCCTGCCCGACCCGATGCCAGAGGTCTTCCCGATGCCCCCATCGCGGGGCGTCTGCCGTCTCTTAGACTGAGGGCCTCTGTGCCCAGGGCTAACCCATCTGCCTTCTCAGCCTGAGGCCCGGGTATCCCGTCTCCCCTCATTCCCCGGCTGGCCGGCCGAGTCTTGGAGCCCCCTTCTTCCTTTGTTACAGGAAGAAAGACACTCCCCCCCCCCCCCACAAAGCTGAATGGAAGCTAAGGGAAGAAGTCAACTGAGTGGGTTATTAAGGGAATCATTAGGACTAGGACTGCTTGAACTTGGGGTCCAGGTAGAACGGGCGCCCTGCCCTCCCTACTCACCCCTCTGCTTCCCCTCGCCTGGCACCCCATGCCCGGATCCAGAATCGAGGCAGTAAGACCCTCTCCTGCTGGTGTGGGAGACCTCCTCCACCCCCCAACTCCGGCAGCTGCCACAGATGGGGTGGGGGGGAAGGCTTTGTTTTGAAGTTTACTGGGAGTTTGGGACCAAACGGGAGAGGGGATGGGCAGGAAGTAGTGTCCCAACGCACAGGGGTTACCCCGATTTGCTAGGCTTCTCAGGGTGCCCCGGCCCGCTGCTTCCGCAGGTGGTGCCCCAGGGCCCCCACCTGTCTTGCTCCGGGCTCCTATCCCCGGAGGCCAGCATGTAAGATCCTCCCCACCTGCCCCTCTCCCCCCAGCTTCCTCCATCACTTCCACTTTTGTCAGGGCTCCACCTGGGGCCAGCTTGGAAGGAGAGGGAGGGAGGGAGGGAGGGAGGGAGGAAGGAAGGAAGGAAGGAAGGAAGGAAGGTAGGTGTGAGGAAGCAGTGAGCAGAGCACAGAATGATCTGGGAGGGAAAGGGACTGACTTCCTGGCAGCCTCAGCTCCGGTCCCGGTTCCTGCCTTGGTATCCTGTCCCAAGAATGGCCTCCGCCCAGGCTGCCTGGTGTTCCCCAGACAACCTCTGTGCTGCTCCGGGGACCCGGAAGACTTTGCAGGGCTGGGAGGGGAGGAGACGCCTCTGTAGGCCCTGAGGAATCCTGAGTCTCGGTGACAAAAGTGACCGGGGGCGAGGGAGCCCAGCTTCTGCCAAGCCCCACCAGGGCCACACCGCCCCGAGGACGGTGCTTGTCCGTGAGACTTGAGAGCCACCTAAGGAGATTCCACTTCCTTGCACCCCAAGAATTCCCCAAGGGGCTGGCCTTGCCCCTGCTGCCCCGCCCAGGCCTGGCTGGACGGATCTCTCCCCGGGAGGGAGCCCCCAGGCCGCCTTTCCCACTCCCGCAGGGGGCCTTACTGCACAGCTTCCGTCCCTCCTTGCCGCTCCCGCACCCCTCCCATCCAGTGGTGTCATTGTCCCCACCGCTGGGGGGGGGGGGGGCAGAACCGAGGTCACTCTGGTAACCGCGGAGTCCCCGCACCCTCCCCTAGGATCCCTCCTTTGCAGCCTCCTTCCCTCTCCCAGCCCCGGCTCTTCCTCCATTCTGTGGGCCCTCCTCACCCTTCCCTTCTCTCTGCTTTCGGGCCTGTGATTACAGAGCAGACACACGCGTGCGGCGTTCACACACACGCACGCGCGCGCACACACACACACCTCGTACGCTCACCGCCACCCATCCAGCCCTAGCACGTACACATCCATTCCCAGAACACGCACGCACCCCCACACCCCGCCACCGCCACCTCCCGGTGCCCGCGCCCCTCAACGTTCCCCCCACCCCCGCGCCTCTTGGGGGCCTCGCGTCTGCCTCGCGCTCTAAGAAAGCTCCTACTCACCCCCCCCCCCTCCTTCGTGGGTGGCTCACTCACACATTAATCCCTCCCCGCCCACCTCCCCTGGAAGTCTGTGTTTTAGATTCAGAGCCCTAAACCCAACTTCCTTCCAGGAGAGACACACACACACATTCTCCTTCCACAGGATCTAGTTACAGCCTCTTCTGCGTGAAAATGGACAGGAGACCCCTAACCGCTGTCCCACTTCCCAGCCGAGGGCTTGGTCCCAGGGTCTCCTCCATGGGGGGGGGGGGCGCGGGTCTTCTTGGGGGCACCCTGCCTCCTTCCCGTGCTGCCCCTTCCTTTTGAGCTCTCTCCACCCCCCCCACCCCCACTGATGTCCTCATGCCTGGACCCCCCTGCCCGTCACCCCCCTCTCCTGGCCCGGGATTATGGAGGGGGTTGGGGGGGGGGGGGGCGGGGCTCCAGAGCCTGCTGCTGTGACCTAGATTTCAAGGCAGAGACGGCTCCTGGTGCTGACAGTCAGAGAGCATTGTTCCTGGCCCGGCCTGGTGGGGCGGCCGCCGGGCCCTGCTGTCTGCTTGCACCTGGCTGTGCAAGTGAGCGTGCCCGTGAGTGCCTGTTTCTTGTGGGGGTCCTGCTGGCTCATTGTGTGTGTGTGTCACAGTGCCTGCCACCGAGGGAGGCTTGTTGGTTCCGGGCCGAGTAGGGGGTTGGGAATGCGGACTTCTGGGTCCACGCCTTTTACTGTGCCATGCCTCTCTGCCTCAGTTTCCCTGCACCTAGACCAGAAATAAGGAAAATGGGGTGAGGCCAGTCCCTCGCCGTCTGCTACGTTCCCAGGCCAGCGTTGGGGTGATTTGTGGGCAGTCCCCGTCAAGTACAAGGTCGTCTAGCTCCTTGTCCCAATCCTTGGTTCAGCCAGAGTTTAGGATAGAACTTACTTTTTAAAATGCTTTACATTTCTGATTATAAAAGAAATATATACTCATCGTGGGGGGGGGGGAGCCCCTTTTAAACTCAGCACCGGAGTTTCACGTCTTACCACTTCCAGAAGTTCATTCTAAGGTCTGACCTTCCTTCTTCCTGTCTTAGTCACGCTTCCTACCTAGTGAGAAGGACGGCCTTGAACGTTCTCTACCTTCCCACTTCAAGATCTTCCCTAAAGAGGGGTGGGGTGAAGGCCTAGGGGAGCCGCAGCCTCGCCCAAGCCCCCTCCAGGAGCCCATCCCGAAGGTGGTGCCAGCCGGACGTGGGTGCAGGCAGCGGTGGCAGCCCCTTTGCTGCCAGACTCTCCCAGAGCTGCCTCGAAACCCCTTCCCCTGCCACCCAGCCAGCCTGGGAACCGGGCAGGGGGCCAGAGCCAGCCGCTTGGTATTCTGGGGCGCGGGGGCTGCGGGCGTAGCACAAAGGCTAGGAGAGAGGGCTGTGCGGAGGCCCGGCGGCCATCAAGGGAGAAACGGGCTCCACAAAGGTGGGGGTGGCCCTTTGCTTCCCCCTCCCCGCCCGCCCGAGCCCTAAGGACTGAATACAGGGGGGCACGGAGGGGCCAGGGGACCGTTAGACCAAGCACCTAGGCATCCATCCAAAATGAGTCATTAGAGGGGCGGTGGGGAGTTGAAGTGAGGGACCCCTTTGCTTCTGGGGAAGAATGGGAGCTAGAACACACGAGCTCTAACCAAGCAGCCCCCCCCTCCTGCCCCTCCTGCCCCTCCCAGAGCTGCTCACTGCCACGGCCGGCCAGCCTGCCTCTCCCTGAAGGTCGTTTTGGAGTGTTGTGGGGTTTTTGTTTTGTTGGGTTTTTTTTTTTTTTTGCCCGGGGGGGGGGGGGTTGGGGGGGGGGGGGGCCCGGGGGGGGGGGGGGGCCTGGGAGGCAGTGGGTGAGAAAGTCTGGAGCAGGTTGCTATGGTAACCGCCTCCTCAGTCAGGGGAGCTGTTGCCAGGGTTACTGCTGGGGGGGGGGGCAGAAATGAAAAAAGATGGGCGAGAAGGAGGTGTGACTTGTCACTCTAGGCTGAAGCTTGGCCCCTAGCTTCTCGTCTCTTCCCGACTGCTCCCGCCGCCCTTGGGTCTTCATTTTCTCCCTCCAGCCGGGGGAGCCCCCCCCCCCCCAGCCTCCGCCAGGGTGGAGGGAGCTGGTGGAGGCGGGTGCCGGTGAGGAAACCGGACTGGCACCTCCAGCTCAGCCGCCTCTCCCTTTGTTCCTCCCGCCCCCAGTCATGGCCGAGTACGGGACCCTCCTCCAGGACCTGACCAACAACATCACCCTTGAAGACCTGGAACAGCTCAAATCGGCCTGCAAGGAGGACATCCCCAGCGAGAAGAGCGAGGAGATCACTACTGGCAGTGCCTGGTTCAGCTTCCTGGAGAGCCACAACAAGCTGGACAAAGGTGGGCGGGGGCCTCGGCCTCGGGCTCAGTCCTGGCGGCAGCGAGAAGCAAGGTCAGGGCCGCACGCGCCAAGCACTCTCCTCTCCGGCAGGACGGGAGAGAGGCTGCGGGTAGAGACCCGGGGTTGGTGGTCCCTGCGTGCCTTACGGTGCTGTCAGTCACTAACGGGGGCGCTCACACGCCCCTGTGCTATTGTCAGATGTGTGACAACACATTAAAACACAAGTGAAGGCGATGAGATTAGAAGTAAAACCACAGGTTCCGACGTTTTTCGTATCCACTTTTAGAGACCACTGCTCTGGGAGTGGCTTGGGCGGGGAGTCGGTGCGTTAAGCTAGCCGTGCAAGGCAAGTGTATTTCGAAGGCAGGGTCCAAAGCGGGGGCATGCCTGGCAAAGGACCACAGTCCCAGAGGCAGGAGTGTCTGGTGTGCCTGGAAGAGCAAAGGGGGCCTGTTTGGCTTGGCTGGTGGGGCCTAGGGTACATTTAGCGGTGGCTGGAAAGGTAAGTTAAGGCTGCGCCGTGGGGGGCCTTGAGGGGCGGGGTATTCGGCGGGTGGTAAGTGACCCCTGGGCCCCGTGGGCCGCGAGAGGTACTCGTCTGCCTGTAGCATGGCGAGCGGTCAGGAGGCGGCTGCAGAGGGTCACAGGGGAGGAGCCAGGGAGGAAGGACGGAGGGCGTCTGCAGTCGAGAACCGGCCCAGCCACGGAGAGCATCCTTCTGGCCACGGCCGTGCCCGGGCTCACGAGGCCCAGCATCTCTCCTGGCTGGTCTGGGGCCTGCACCCCCACAGGTGCTGTCGGGAAATTCTTTCTGATGCTGACGAGGAGGAGTGCTAGGGAGTCAGCGTGGGCGTGGGGGGTCAGGAAGGCCATTTAACTCTTCTGTTCTCCCCTCCCCGCAACGTGGAACCTGGTATTCAGCCCGAATCCCTCGTTCTAAATCCCGAATGTTTTAAACTTCACTGACCAACCACCTGCTCTTCCCGGGAAGTCCTCCGTATTTACTGTTGGTGCCTTAGCTTTCTTGTCCTGCTCGGCAGCCCCGCCCCTTCCAGGGGCATGCCCTCTGATAGCCAGTGTGGGTCCCGGAAGCCTGGCCTGGTGGGGCAGGGGAGGCCTCTCCAGCCTGGCTGACCCCGTCTCCGTCTTCCTTCAGACAACCTCTCCTACATCGAGCACATCTTCGAGATCTCTCGCCGCCCTGACCTGCTCACCATGGTGGTGGACTACAGAACCCGTGTTCTGAAGATCTCCGAGGAGGATGAGCTGGACACCAAGCTGACCCGCATCCCCAGTGCCAAGAAGTACAAAGGTAGGAGGCCACGCCTTCACCATGCACCTCTCCCCCCGCCCAGGGGTGATCCTTGGAGCACTTGACTCTGGGGAGAACGGAGGCGGATGCGGCGGGCCTGCCTGCTGTCGTCCACGCCTCCCGTCCCTGGACACCTCCCTTTTTGCCCCCAGACATCATCCGGCAGCCCTCGGAGGAAGAGATCATCAAACTGGCTCCGCCACCGAAGAAAGCCTGAGCGAGGGGGAGGAGAGGAGGAAGGTTGGACCTTCACTGGACCACTCCCTTCCCCCAGCCTCCAGGGGAGGGGCGAGGGCAACCCCCCCAGTCTACCCACTTACTAACCTGGTCCTAACCCCCTTACTGTGCGCGTGTGTGTGCGTGTGCGCACGCTCTGGCTGTCCGTCTGTATGTCTAGCTCATCAAGTTCCTCCTCCTTGTGAGAGGATGGGGGTCGGGCTGGGGGGGGGGGGGCTTCGTTTCCCCACTTTAGGGGGAGGTGGGGGCTGTTTCTATGCAAATAGAAATGGGCACGTTCCTCCTACTGCCCTTTCCTCCACTCTTCCCCCACACGGCCGAAGTGTGGGAGCAGAAAGGACCTGTATTTTCCTACACTGAGGAGCCGAGCTGGGGGTGAGGGCCTGGGGAGAGGTGGGTGGACCTAAAGATGAGCAGCGGGAGGGAAAGTGGTTACCCAACCCCCACCCGGACCAGGCAAAGAACAGCCAGAGTTCTGAGTTTGTACTCCCATGCTGGGTTGGCCAACGAGTCTTTTCTAGTGGTTCCTCAGGCTGGAGGGCCTGGGCCCCAGCAGGTCCCATTTTGCTCCCCTCCCATGGGCCTAGGATGGGTATGAGCCAGGGATCTAAGGAGAGAGGACCACTGGATCCCTTCCTGGCCCCGAAGTTCAAACCCCGTGGAGCACCCAGCATTAGACCCTCCCGCCTCCCCCAGAGCCCATGCTGGGAGCAGGCCCCCCTAAACCAGATGTGGGGAGGGGGGCCCTCTTTTCCACTCCTTTATTCCTACTCAGACTGTTGCACACACTGACTCCAAACCTAGGGAGACTGAGGAATGAGCTCCTTAGGTCTTAACCCCAACCCCGTCCCACCCACAGGGTCCCAGCGTGGGGACTACAGGCGACCCTCCCTATGTCGGGTCTAGAACGCCCCCAGCTGGAACGAAGGGAAGAAGCTAATTACAGTGTCTTCCTTTGCACTGACCACCCGCCCCCCCCGCCACCAGTTCAGTCCAGGAGGGGACTTGTTAGCCCGTAGCCCATCTTCCCCACTATCCTGGCGTGTTGGGCTCGTGAATGCCTCCTAGCCAAATCACTAGAGTGCAGTGACCCCAGCCTCCTTCCTGTGCCAAGATGCCCTCCCTGCCCTGACCGTGCTAACTGTGTGTACATATATATCTACATATATGTATATTAAACCCGCACTGCCATGTCTGCCCTTTCTTGTGTCTGGCATTAACTTAGTGTCCACGCCCGGGGGGGGGGGGGGGGGGGGGGGGGCGGAACGCAGTGAAGGGAGCGCCAGTCCAGTGGCTATGTAGTGAAAACGAAGAAACTTTCTTCAAGTTTAAATTCACATGCAATCTCAAGAGACTATTCAGAGAAAGTTTTAAGTTCAGAGCTTTGAAGACGTGGGAGCAAAACTTAAGTGGGAGCGGAGGGCTGGCTGTCAGAGGAGGGAAGAAGCCAGACTGGCCGGAGAGAGCCGCCTCTGTGCCCAGCCCAGCCGTCCCCTCTGGCCACCGCTGCGGACACCTGCCTTAACACATACACCTTGAGTACGCCACACAGTTTTGCCTTAAAGGACCTTCCCAAGTTTCCCCAGCCCTGTCTGGCTTCTCCCTCAAGGACAGAGAGATACTTGCAGAATTGGGAGGGGGGAACTGAGCACGAATTGTCCTTCCGGTCAGGATATGTGATGTGAGAGTGTGTGTGTGTGTAAGAGAGAGAGAGAGACAGAGAGAGAGACGGAGGAAGGAATTAGCTTTCTCTGAAGAGGAGAGAGGGTGAGATGGGAGAAGGGAGACAGGGTCATTTTCAACAGAGTCTAGTAGTATCTCTGTAAGGCAAAAATAATCTAAAAAGACTAACCTGCCCTCCCATCCCTGTACTGCTGTGAGATCGTCCCTATCCTGTGCTCCCCTGTCTGCAGTGTGCACGGCCTCATTCTAACCCTGGAATAAAGGTGATTGTACTGTACCCGGTTCTAGAATTTCTGTGAATTACCAGGACTTTGGAGTCTTTGAATGACTGGGGAAGGGAGGGGGAGCGATACCCCAAATCCCTCACTGCGGCCTGGAAAACACCCCTAATGGTATCCTTCCCCCCCGCTTCCCCCCACCCGTCTCCCGAGTAGCCCTGAGCTATGGGGCCTGCTCCACTGGAGCCCAGGCCTGGAAACAGGACTGTCCCAGACCAGACCTCCTCAAACCGTAAGGGAGACAGGGCCAGGAGCCTATAGTGGAAGAGACCAACCCGGTCCATCACGAATGAATGGGCCACATGTCGCACACACACAGCAGCAGTCAGAAAAGAAGAAGAAGAAAAAAAAAAAAGCTTTACTGAGAGAAAATACACAATCCATTCCAGAGTGCATGGTTTTCAGGCCACTCCACGACCCCTCCGGCAACAGGAGTGCGCGCGTCCCCGCCTTGGGGAGGAAACGCAGCAGCTGACATCTGGTCTGAGAGTTGCTAACAAAAGGGGCAGGAGGAAGGAGTGCCTTCCATCCCTTCACTCTGCCCTTCCTTCCTGGCCTGTTCTAGGAGAATCGGGCCGCCTCAGGATGCAGAATTCCTGGTTGGGGGCTGGGGGGGCGGGGTGGATAGCAGCACAGGCAATAAGGGCAAAGATTCAACTTAGGACTTTCATTCAGCGACCAGTGACGAGACAGGTGTCCAAGCCCCAGCTGTCTTCATCCTTAGATTAACGATTTGTCCCTCAGTCGCAAGATGTCAAGAGGTGGACCAGCTGGAGAGGCCACCCCAGGAGGCCTTTCTCTGCTATACTCTCCTCCCACGAGGAAGGGGGCTGCTGGGGCAGGGTGGGTGGCTTAGAGAATCAAGCAGCTACAGGTAAGAGTGAGCGTGTCCTCTGTCACGTACAGTATGAGGAGAGACAGTCTGCAGTGGCAGAACCTTCCTGAAGTCACAGTTCAGTCAAGTTTTAAAGACGGGCCAGCCTCTGGTTGGGAGAGCATCCTGGGAGCACCCACAAGACCCAAGGAGAGGTAGGAGATCTGGGGCAAAGAACTGAAAGGAGCTCCGTTTTCCCAACCCCGCAACCGCGGCAGGAAGCAGAGAAGGGCAGAGTCGAGGATCTTTCCGTTCTGGAGCCTCCAAAAACCCCAGGGGTCGGCCCCCATCTCTGGTGGCCGCAAACAGAGGGCGGGCTGGGCCCTGTGTGACTGCGAGGGCAGGACTCCCACCCTCCACCTTCAGTCCCTTCCCTGCAGTCACGGAGGACATACAGGTATTCAAACTGACAAGAATTTTAACGTGCTACATCCAAGTTTGACTTGCTTTTTAATATATTTATAGATATAAAATTAGGCCTCTAACAGTGACAGGGCAAGGAGACTGCTGCCACCAAACAACTTTTTTTTAAGTAACAGAAGAGGTAACATCCTTCCTATCCTTCCTCCACTTCTGCCCCTCCTCCCGCCACCCCAGCCCCCCTCACCAGACCTAGTTAGGGGTGACGGGATGAAGAGAAGGGCATGTGTGAAACACCGTGGGAAGGACAGAGGATGAACGGGTGGGAAGGAAAGTGAAGAGTGTGGGGCAGTCAGGGGCTCCAAGGACTCCCCAGAATAACGGGATCCTGGGATGGGGTCATCTGGGGGCGGCGGGGGGGGGGGGGG